AATGACTCATATTAGAACTAAAAACATTTAAACACTTAAAATAAGTTCCAATATAACACTTCCCTTTTTCTTTGGTTAAGCATTTTATGATCCTCAAAGATACTCCTTTGAACTGAAAAACCTACAAAATCAATTTTTATCATTAAAATCACACCAACTAATAAAACTCACAAATTTAAACACATTAAAACAAAAGAAATCATTAGATTACCTCCCAATTAACCCTTTTGTTTATAGTCGTTGGCTCGACTCAAGAGTTGAATTCTCAAATTGAAGAAGAATTACCCAAGTGACACATAAGTCCCTTGGGAACGATTTCACCCGCTAAGGAGGGTTTTAATCGTTGTCAATTAATCTTAAACCTTTCTTTTTTTGAATTTGCCACTTTAACATCTCCATAAGAGAATACTTGAGTGACTTCAAATGGTCCCGACCACCTTGACTTCAGTTTTCCTGGAAACAATCTCAGGCATGAGTTAAATAAAAGCACTTTTTGCTCTACCTGGAATTGTTTAGGAAGAATATGCTTATCATGCCAATATTTTATCTTCTCTTTATAAATTTTAGCATTTTCATAAGTATGTAGCCGGTGTTCCTCCAATTCACTTAACTCAAGTAGCCTCCTTCCACCTGCAAAATTAAAATCCATATTAATTGCTTTAACAGCCCAATAAGCTTTATGCTCAATCTCTACAGGTAAATGACAAGTTTTTTCATAAACTAAACGATACGGCGACATCCCTAAGGGTGTCTTAAATGTCGTTCGATAAACCCATAGTGCATCATCTAGCTTTGTAGCCCAATCTTTACATGATTTATACACGGTTTTCTCCAAAATGAGGTTTATCTCTCGATTTGCTAACTCTGCTTGTCCGTTGGCTTGAGGATGGCACGGAAGTGACTTTTTATGCCTACATCCATATTTAAACAACAAAGTGTCAATGAATTTATTACAAAAATGCTTACTTTCGTCGCTTATAATTGCCTTTAAAATACCAAACCTACAAAATATGTTCCGTTTAAAGAATTTAAGCACAACCTTAGCATCGTTAGTTTGTGAAGTAAAGGCCTCCACCCATTTAGAGACATAATCAACCGCTAAAACAATGGACTTGTTATTAAAAGAACTAGAAAATGGTCCCATAAAATCAATGTCCCAAACATCAAATAACTCAACTTCCAAATATGTAGATAGAGACATTTCATTCTTTCTAGAGATAGTACCAGTTTTTTGGCATTGATCACAACTTTTAACCCAATCTCTAGCATCTCGGTACATAGTAGGCCAGTAAAATCCTGATTGTCATACCTTTGCTTCGGTTTTAATTATACTAAAATGACCTCCCATCTCCAGGGTGTGACAATGCATTAAAATACTATATATTTCTTCTTCCAGAACACATTTTCTAATTATGCCATCCGCACAGTGTTTGTAAAAGAACGGTTTCTCCCAAAAATAGTGTTTAGCATCATTTAAGAATTTTTTCCTTTGGTAGGCATTCAAATCATTTGCTAGCACTCCACTAACTACAAAGTTAACTAAGTCGGCATACCATGGTGACTTTTGAATAGCAATTAAGAACTCATCTGAAAATTCTTCTTTAATGGGGAGATGGCCTTCTTGAGACATGTTTTTCAGTCTAAAAAGATGATTTGCGACTAAGTTCTCGGGTCCTTTTTTATCTTTGATCTCCAAATCAAATTCCTGCAATAATAAAATCCACCGAATTAGTCGAGGCTTTACATCTTTCTTATTTAAAAGGTATTTAAGTGCCGCATGATCGGTGTAAATGATAACTTTAGATCCCACTAAATAAGATCTAAACTTATCCAATGCAAATATAACTGCTAGCAACTCCTTCTCTATTGTCGCATAATTGATTTGAGTTTTATTTAGCATTTTACTTGCATAGTAAATGATATGAAGTCGCTTATCATGCTTCTGCCCAAGAACAGCTCCCACCGCAAAATCACTAGCATCACACATCAATTTGAACGGTAAGCTCCAACCCGGTAATGTTATTATGGGTGCGGAGACAAGTTCCTTCTTCAACCTATTAAAAGCAAGTAAACAGTCCTCATTAAAGTGAAAAAAACATCTTTTGCAAGTAATTCACATAAAGATTTAGCAATCTTGGAGAAATTCTTAATAAACCGTCGATAGAACCCCACGTGTCCAAGAAAGTTTCGAATGCCCTTCACATTGGTAGGTGCAGGCATTCTCTCAATTACTTCTATTTTGGTTTGATCTACCTCAATACCTTTTGAAGAGATTTTATGGCCTAGAACAATACCCTCACAAACCATGAAGTGACATTTTTTTCAATTGAGTACAAGATTTGTTTCTTCACATCTCTGCAAAATTAGATCTAAATTGTTAAGGTATTGATCATAAGTAGATCCAAATACAGAAAAGTCATCTATAAAGATTTTCATGATTTTCTCATTAAAGTTGGAGAAAATTGCCATCATGCAACGTTGAAAAGTGGCCGGCGCATTGCATAGTCCAAAAGGCATTCTTTGAAATGCAAAAGTGTCGTAGGGACAGGTGAATGTGATTTTCTCTTGATCTTCCGGTGCAATGACTATTTGATTGTATCCTGAAAAACCATCCAAAAAATAATAAAATTCATAACCAACCAACTTTTCTACCATTTGATCAAGAAAAGGAAGAGAAAAATGATCCTTTCTAGTAGCTGCATTCAGTTTTCTATAATCAATACAAACTCGCCACCCAACTACAACTCTAGAATGAATCATTTCATCATTTTTACCACATATTATGGTTATTCCCCCCTTCTTTGGCACTACATGAATAGGAGAAATCCAAACACTATCATATATTGAAAAAATTATACCTGCATCCAGTCATTTAAGGATTTCTACTCTTACCACTTCTTTCATATTTGGATTTAACTTTCTTTGAGTCTCAACCACCGGTTTAGAGTTTTTTTCCAACAAAATTCTGTGCATATAAATAATTGGACTAATTTCTTTGATATCAAAAATTGTCCATCCTATAGCCTTTAAATGCTTTCTCAAAATGCGTAAGAGTTTGCCAAGTTGTTCCTCATTAAGTGCGGCATTGACAATCACCGACAATGTCTCATTTTCTCCAAAAATGCATATTTGAGATGTTTAGGAAGTGGTTTCAGTTCAAGCCGTGAAGCTTGCTCATACGATGGTGGGGGTAATCCTTTGTTTAACCCTAATTCCTCATACGCATTGCCCCTTCTGTAAAGAACTTGTACCTGCAAATATTTAGTCATTTTTTCAACTTGTTTCTCTTGCAGGTCTATACCATTAAGACAAAGTTCAAGAGGGTCATCGTCAAGATTAACTTGACTCATCTATAGTATCAGTTTATCACATATGTCAACAGAATAAATATGATCGGTAAAAGAGGGATATTTCTCTACTTTACTCAAATCAAACTCCACTTCCTCTTCACCGATTTGGAATTTGAACTTTTCACGTTTAACATCTATTATAGTACCTGCAGTGGCCAGAAATGATCTACTAAGAATAATAGGTACATTGATATCCTCCTCCATATCTAAAACAATAAAATCAACAGGAATGATGAATTTATGCACTTTAATAAACACATTCTCCAATATACCCATTGGATGTCTAATAGACCTATCAGTCAATTGTAAAGAAATGTTAGTACGTTTTAATTCTTTCAACCCCAATTGCCTAGCCACAGTTAAAGGAATCAATGAAACACTAGCACCCAGGTCACATAGTGCTTTAGAGAATTCTACATTACCAATAGTGCAAGGAACTGTGAAACTCCCTGGATCTTTCAACTTTGGTGGCAATTTATTTTGTATGATGGCACTACATTCCTCCGTTAATGCAATAGTCTCGCTATCTTCTAATCTCCTTTTCTTAGTCATTATCTTCTTGAGAAACTTTACGTACGAAGGAATCTGCAAAATAGCATCAACAAAAGGAATATTAATATGTAATTATTTGAAAATGTTGACAAACTTCTCAAAGTCTTTGTCACTTTTCGAAGATTTCAATTTTTGTGAAAATGGCACCGGTGGAGAAATTGGTGTTGTCTCTATAATCTGTGGCTTGCTTTCTTCCACCTTGTCTTCATCTTTAATTTTCTTGCTATTCTCTCCTAAGTCACTCGACTGTTATTTTCTCTGCTTTCATGTTCTCTCACACTTTCAATCACAGGTGCCTCACCCACTTTCTTACCACTACGGAGGGTTATGGCCTTTACATGCTCTCTTGGGTTTATCTTAATCTTGCTAGGTAAATCTTCCTGGTTCCGATTGTTGACCGCATTAGCTATTTGGCCTAATTGGACCTCGATATTTCTATACATATTGGTGAGTTGGTCCATCATTCTCTCAATTCTTTCAAACCTTTGAGTAGTGGCACTAGCTAACTTTTTAATTTTATCATTTGATACATTTGCTAGTTTCTCAATTGCCAATTTTTAAGTTGGTTTAGACTCCGAAAGTGATTGTGATTGTTTCGGTTGAAAATTCGGTGAATTTATTGGTATTTGTTAGTTCCCTTGATCTTTCCATCCAAAGTTTGGATGATTACGCCACCTTGGATTATAGGTATTGGAGTATGAATTGTTTTGGGGTGGACGATTGTAATTGTTGAGATATTGAACCTGTTCGCTGCTAGAACACATAGAATCATTATGGTCTCCTCCACAGTTAGTACAACACGCAACAACTACTCCTTGGTTAGAACTAGAACCAACTTGCCTATTTAGTATCTTAACCACATTATCCATCTTTGCATTTAACATATTCAAGGTATCTACTTCAAGCATACCTGCGGTTCTCCTTGTATTACCTCGTTCGTTGGCCCATTGATAATTATTAACAGTCATTTCTTCAATCAATTGTTAAGTTTTGTCAACTGACTTTCCCATCAACGCTTCTCCTGCTGCCGCATCTACATGTGTCTTTGTCGAATAGGTGAGACCATTATAAAATATTTGGACTATTAGCCAATCAGGGAGACCATGATGAGGACATCTTCATTGTAATTTTCGATAGCGCTCCCAAACTTCATACAATGTCTCTCCTTCCTGTTGAGAGAAACTAATTATATCCATTCTAAGTTTAGCAGTTTTTTTAGGTGAAAAAAATTTATTAAGAAAAGCCTTAGCTAATTCAGCCCAAGTAGTAAAAGTGTTTGGAGGATGAAATTGTAACCAAACATTGACCTTGTCCCTTAGTGAAAATGAAAACAGTCAAAACTTAATTGCATCATCACTAATACCATTAAGCTTTATAGTATCACAAATTTCAAGAAATGTTGACAAATGAAAATTTGGATTTTCAGTAGCATTATCTCCATATTGAGATTGTTGAACCATTTGAATAAGTGATGGTTTAATTTCAAAATTATTAGCATTTACCGTTGGTCTTGCTATGCTTGTTTGAGATCCTTGTGTCCCCGGTAGAGCAAAATCTCATAGAACTCACCTATTTGTTTCGTTTTCTGCCATCTCTTCTTCAAATGGTAGTTCTATTAAGATTTCTTCTATTGGTTGCCAAACCTCTTGTTCCTCTTGTTGTGGTGTATGTCTTCTTTGTCTACGAAGTATCCTTTCAATTTCTGGATCGAAAGGTGCAACTTTCTGAGATGTCCGGTGCATACACTACAAACAGAAATAAGAAAAATTATGCAGTTTCAATTGTCAAAAATTGTTAAAAATGCAAAATTAACTATAAATAACTCAACTAATAAAAATAAGGATGTCTAAATTAATAGAGATGATTAGTCCCTAATATTGCAGCTCCCCGGCAACAGCGCCAAAAACTTGACGGATCTTTTATATACGTACAAGTTAAAATCCGATTTACACCCATTTGACTGCAAGTATACAGGTCAAATTAGTAGTTTAGGGCATGTATCTGGTGGATCCCACGAGGAGCAAGTTTAAACAAGTACTAGATCTTTATTTACTCTATTATTTAGACTAAAAATAAATTGGAGTAGAAATATTATAAATGCTACTTCCTAAAATCTGATTAGATCAATGCAAATTACAAATGGAGAAAATTCACTAAAGACTTGAATTTAGGGATATAGATTCCATTTATGGTACAAAAGATCCAAATGAATGAATTTAACACTTGTTACTACTCTTGTTTAACTAGGGATTCATTTTCAAAAATACCAAAATCTCATTCTCATGATAATAATGGTCTAGAACAGTTTAGTTTTTCCTAATCTCTTGGTAAATAACTAACTTTGTTCTTGTTCATGCATGAAATGCAGATTTCATCCACTTGATTGTATTTCAATTTTCATGAACTTCCAACCCAAGCTCTACTCATGTTATTCCATTATTTTTACCATTTCTCAATGAGTAATACAACTATAAACCTGCTATTGGTGATCAAACAACAACAAGTAATCAAGCATGCACAAGTAGACAAGTTAATACAAGATACAACAAGTGTAAATCACATTCAATTTATATCACTTGACCATAAGTTTCATCTACTCCCTAGATATAGAAATTTAGCTTCTCATGAATGATATAACCATCAAACTCATAACTTTATTAATGGAAAACATCACAAGTTACAAGTACAAGAAGGATAAAGAAAAGCTTAGCCAAGTTAATGGTGCAGCCCTCCAATTTTTGCTATGACTTGCACTAGATGATTACAAGATGAGATCTCCAAGTGCTCCTTCAAGAACTTCTAGCTAGAGAGAAAATGTTACAAGAAAAAAACTAACTACGTATGGATCCCCAACTTCCCCTTCATTTTCTGCATAAAAAGATGGTAGAAAGTGCATTTTTTCTCCCCTCATGATTCCAACATCTCAGATTTGTTAAGAAAGTCAAAAGAAATGTTGTTTTAACTTGACAATAAATCATATTGTCTTTCTTTTTACTTCAGAAGTATGTGCCACCGAATTCTCTCACCAAAGATAGTTAGAAAATTGTGTGAAAAGTAAGAAAACTGGCTGTGCCACTTGCAGAGAAGGGAGGCAGATCCGAGCTCTGGATCCGAGGGATGCAGTAAGATCCGAGCTCGGATCATGGCTGATCTGAGGTCTTTCTCAAATGGATCCGAGCTCGGATCATCTGGCCTCGAATCCACTACTCCAGAAGTACAGACAAGGGCTCAGATCATCTTTGGTCCACACGGATCCGCGCTCGGATCCGTGCTCTTCAATTTCCAGACTTTTCAATTTCTTCATTTTTGCTCTTGGTTTCTTTTGTACTTTGTCCTCTAGACGATCCTTGCTTTTTCTTTATCGCGTTCAAGAATTTCACATATCAATATCCTTCAAAATATCACAGATTAAAGCATTGATCCACTCATTTAGCAAATTTTGATTACTCAAACAACACTTAAGCAATTAGCACCAAAAAGAGTTCAAATATGGCTTTAATCTTCTCAAAACATACCAAAAGTTCATGTCAAACTTGTACAAAATATACGTTAAATATTCACTTATCATTGACCACAAGAAATTAAACAAAAATCAACTCACGATTTCGTTTGAAATCCTACCCTAATCTTGGGTTCCTTAATAATCAATTGGTATGGAGACTAAGATGGGCTTTGGCTTTCTAAATTGTGTCACGATTATTAGCTACTGTTCAGCATTTTTTGTTTACAAAAGCTTCTATTTCTTTTGTTTTTGTTTTTGTTTTTGTAAGATCACCATACCTCTATGAGGACCGTATAACCTGCATCAAATCTTTGAGGAGTTAGCACAATGGTCCATATCGGGTAGGGCAAAAGGAATTTATTGCATGTAAATTTTTGCATTTCACTTTCCATTTTCCCACAGATTTAACTTGCATGAGGCATGACGCTGTTAAGCATTGGTCTCTATTAAAGACTCAAGTGATTAGATTCAAAAAATCATTGTAGATAAATAGTTAATTGTTTTTTAAGACTCAAGGTAAGCAAGAAGTTAATAGGAAGGACGATTGTTTTGTTAGACTCAGGCTGTGATTATTTCGACTGAAAATCTTTTCTGAAAAGCATTTTCGTTACTTCAGGTGTTTGGTTGTTATGTAGTTGGTGAAAATATTTTCTCCATTTAAATTTCAAAAAACTTCCTTAATTAACTTACTGAAGTTATTTTCTAGCTGCCAACTGAGAAGTCGGAGAGTTTTCCAACATAAGAAGCCGAAGACCAAAGAAGCCTAGAGAGCCAAAATTTCATTGGCAAATTCGCTATTCCTCAACGTCGGCAAACTTACCAGTCATTCAACTCAGCGACCTTTCTGGTGCAAATTTATAATGTGATTGTTTCTATTCCAATGCCCTTAAATTCCTTTTTCTTCTCTTTTTAGATGTATTTTATGTTTTCTTTTGAATTTTGACCTTTTTGTCTCAAATTTCCCTTGGTTTTCATGTTTGAAGATTTAGATTTAATTGTTAAAATTGGATCTTGCGGTCTTTAAATCCTCCATTTACATTCATAGCATAATTTAAGAGTTAAGAAGATGGATTTTATGATTCATAGAATGGGGCATGAAATGGTGGACCGTGGCTGTATAGAAAAAAAGTTTCAACATTAAAAATGGTATAACTATTTTTTTCAAAATAGATTATTTCACACTAGTTAATTGGGTCTATGGACATTGAAAGAAATTATGAAGGAAATTAAACCAAGTTATTTTAGTATTTAGTTTCCTAATTCCTTTTGGTATCTTACTTGTTTAGTTTCCATATTAGATTAGGAAATCTCAAGTCAATTTCCAAATAAGTTTGGGTTTACAATTATATTTATTTTAGGAAGTTTTAGAACCTATAAATACTACTAGTCTAGTAGGTTATTAGGTGAAAAGAAGTGACGTGGAGAGTTGAGTTGAGTCTAGAAATTAAACTTGAGAAAAAATCTCATAGTTGAGATTTGTAAGTTGTCGTGAGCTAAAAGCTATAACTTAATATTTGTTTTGAGTCAAATAAATTATTGAGTGTTTGCTCTCCTCCTCTTCCCGCATATTTTTTATATGTGTTAGAATTGCTTCCGCTATGTGCACGAGGATTTTTGTGCCAACAAGTGGTATCAAAGCTCTAGGCTTTCATCCTGGGGCTTGTTTGTGAAATTAAAATATGGATTCGTATTATTTACCACGTTGTGGTGTATTTATCTTTGATGGTAAAAATTATTTTGAGATTTGGAGGTCGATGATGAAGAATTTTTTCAAAAATATTAGAGTTTTGAATATTATCCAAAAGGGGTTCATGGAACCTATAGAAGGCACAAAATTATCAAGGGATGCAGTTGAACAATTAAAGAGGAATAGACAGTTGAACTATAAGGCATTATACTATCTCCATACCCAAGTCCAGTTACATGTAGCCAAAAAATTCATACATGTAAAGACAGCGAAGGAGGCTTGGAAATTTTTAACAAATTCCTATGATCATGGTGAAGAAGAAATTTGTGACAAGGAAGAAGAAAAAGAAGTTTTTGATGAGGCAAAGAAAGAAGAAATTGTAACAATTGTGGATACACATGAAAATGAAGAAATTGTGATTGAAGAAGAAATTTCACAAGTGGTTGAGAAAGAAAGTGAAATCATTGATCAAATTAAAGATGTGATTGAAGATCATGATGACAGAGAAATTGTTGACTTTATTGAGGTTGATGAATATTTTGAAGAGAAAAATCAAGTGATGAGATTGGTTGAAATCAATTGTGAGGTGGACAATTAATTGAAGGTTGTGATACTGCAAAAGTTGATGCAGTTGTTAGTGCTGAAAAACTAAAGGAAAAATATGGTGATGTTGAAAACCTTATTGGTAAAAATTATGATTTTCTGATCTTTGGACACTTTATTGGTGATATGGTTGAATTGAATTGTGGAGTATCTAATAAAGAATTGGTGGATATATTTGAATTTTTTTACAAGAGCGATCAGGAGAAGAAATTGTTTGAGAAGTACAAGTTTCGTCCACCATCGGGAAGTGAAGTGGAGAGTTGAGTTGAGTCTAGAGATTAGACTTGAGAGAAAATCTCATAGTTGAGATTTGTGAATTGTCATGAGCGAAAAGCTATGACTTAATATTTGTTTTGAGTTAACTAAATTATTGAGTGTTTGCTCTCCTCCTCTTCCCACATATTTTTTATATG